ATTTCCTGATTTGTAGAACTAGGGTAGTTTAATCTGCAGCCCCACATTAGTTGTGTATTTGGCAGCTACTAGAGTACTATTGTTATAAGAAGGTTAGCTAATTTTCTGTTGCACACGATAATTTACATTTCATAGGGTTAACTATAGAACAACTTTGTCTCCTCTAGCAATGATAATTGGCAAAGAAACACAGATGTAGTTTGGCAAGCACTTACCCCACACTCAACACAGGTAGGAGGATCATGGTTGAAAATCATTGCATCACAAAGCTGCTCCATAAGCAGAGAGGAAACAAAGTGAGATTCAGTAAAGTATTAGCAGTTGCCAAGTTTAACCAGTAATAAAATCCAAAAAACTTTTTTTTCCTCATCACAAGATGTAACTGCCACTTGTATTAACCATACATATAACAGTTCAACTACATTATGCTTCCTAAGTGAACACAATGAAACCTATAATGGCTCATTCACAGATTTAGTCACTTAACAATAGCTACACGTCATACTTCTTGTCCATAGACCTCAGACATTTGGGAGCTAATAAAATACCTTTTTCTCTCAGTTAAGGGGGGAGCTTATAAAATACTCAAGTACATAGTTAAATAGTCAATGAGCAAGCCTCAGAAAACCACTGTGAAATTGAAAATCAAACTAAGCATGACAGTGTAACCTGATGCAGCCAACCTGAAACCATAGCACAGTCCCATTAACAGCCACCTTGTAGAACCTGAAATTATGTACAAGTACAGAGTACTTTAGTAAAAATGCCATCCCACAACAAACTAACAAAAGCAGAATTTTCTTTGACCTGAAATTATAGATGTCAGAGTCCTTCAGTAGAAATGCCACCCCGCAACAAACTAACAAAAGAAGAATTTTCTTTGAGCTTTGAATCTATTCTCCTCTATATTAGTCCATCTTATACCAACACTAAATAACGTCTTATAGGCAAAGTAGAAGTTCTTTCTATGGAATTGGAGTTCACTAAATCACACACTTATCCTTACACAGCCATAGAAATCTCTAAACAAAACAAAACACCCCTGACAAAACCTGGACCTAATATAAAAATACAACACTAAGCCTCAATCCCAATCCAACAAGCTGGTATATACTCCCTCTGTTTCAATTTGTTTGTCTCTTTCTTTTTTTGGTCGAGATAAACAAAACTTTCCTTTTTAGTCCGTTTCGAAAGAATGTGTCTTTCTTTTTTTGGCAACTCCTTAATTCTAATTTACAAAGCATGTTTAAGACAACAGGATTAAAAGACATTTTAGTACATTCCACATATCTTTAGTTTTAGTTTAAGACCATAAGATTCACAAGTATTCTTTACATTCTTAAACTCTATGTCAAGTCAAAACGAGACAAACAAATTGAAACAGAGGGAGTATCCAATATGTTCTGTTCTTTTTTTTTCTTTTTTTTATGACCTTGGTATCTGGGCCAACTTTCGCACACCTCGACTGATTCCACGGGGTACCTGCCACCTCTACCAGCAACAGGGATAGATGGGAAAAATCACCTAGTTGTTTTTGTTTCCGCTATGTTCTGTTCTTAGCTAAGAACAATGGCATATATTGTAGTAAGATGAAAATATCAATATGGAATCCGAACAATGTCATTTCTCATATCTCATCAAATCACTGCACTAGCTTTCCCCATATTTCACTATCAGCCCCATATCATGAAATAGTGTTTCTCATATTTCACTATCAATCACATAACTGCACTAGTTTTCTTATATCTCAACTAATCTCGAACTAACAGAAAAGTGTAAGTTATGGAAAGTTAGCAAGTAAAAAAGAGAAAGAGAGAGTACCCATCTTCACTGAGGATGCCATGAGGGAAATTACGAATTGGGTTCGTTAAGCTGTAATTGTAAAGCTTATTGCCTTGCTCAAAACTAAGCTGACACGTTCCATAGACCGAAGTAATGATGGTGGCGAAGATTAGTGGAAGAAGAAGCAGAATGAGTGGATGGCGATTTCGGAAACTGCCACCAATTGTCATTTCGAATTCCTAAAACTACATAAGCAGCAATTTATTGGGTTGTGAGAATTTTTGCAGTAATCGAAGGTTTGTTTTCTTGATCTTTACAGAAATGAAGTCGAATCTTGCTTGGGAGGGGAGGCCAGCGAACAAGATGAACTCACGGCGGTTTTGGATGTGTGTCCTTATAGCTAATTACGGACTTACTAATTAATCAGCTGATTACTACTCCTATTAGATTGTAATATTATGAATTTTATTATATTTTGAATTTCAAGTATGTGTATATGATGTGTTTATATAAATATGCATTTCGGATATATATTATTATCATTTAATTTGTTTTAGGTACACTATATGATGATAAATTCGTATGTATTTGACTTTCTCGCTTATCTTTTTTCTATTTGAGTTACCATTCTCCTATTTGCTCGCCTCTCTCCTTTTATCAGGTATCCAGATAGGTAGATACACATATTTAATGTAATTCACTGTTGGGATATATGCTGCTAAACATGTGTTTAGATATAATTATTTTTTCATTTTTAATAGATCATATATTCGTATTTTGTGTCTGTTTGCGTATATATTACTTAGATGATTTAGTGTATAGAGTTTTAGCTTATACACAGAGAATTAATCATCGGTTCTTATAAGTATAAAGTTTTTTGTTCACAATCTAAGATGGGAATTGGACATGTCATCGGTACGATTGTAGCACAAGATTATATGTAGTTTATCTTGATTATGGAAATGGTATAGTTCTAATTTCTTGTGCTAGTGCATTTTGTATGTATTGAATGGGACCGAGTAGAGATAGTTGATTTAGACTGACTGACAAAAGCATAATTCTCTAAACTATTAAATGTACTTATATTCTTAATCTTGATATAACCATTATGATATGTATATGTTATTTATCGTTTTGATTTATTAAAAGGTGAGATTCTAAGTTGGGTCAATATGCCTGGTAGATTGAATGATGATTATATATATTGGTGAAATAATAAGTTAGTTGACGAAATTCATGTTTCGATATAGAGATTGATGATATGCCTTTTTGAGAAGCTTATAAGTTTTCATCATGTCAAACCTTGTAAGTGGATCTATGAATCCGACACATGAAATAAGTTAAGTAGTGCTCTAAAGAAAATTAATCATTGAATTAAATTCATCAGTAATTTAATTTATTGATTAGTATCTGTAATCTTTAACATGAGGAATTATGTGTTTAATGAGAAATTTTTCAAATATAAATAGAGGAGTACAATTATGAATTTCTAGTGGAAATGATTTGTACGTAATTTATTATGGCAAGAATAATTCAAATTAATTATTGGGAATTCTTTTCATAATAGGAAGCCTCAATAATTAATTATTTGGTCTCTACCATGCTCATATTTAACTAGAACCCAAAATATATTCTAAGGGGAAAAGGAAGAAGTACATGTCTTTTTCTATTCTAAGGAAAGGGAGAAGTACATGTCTTTTTCTATTATAAGGAAAGACTATGTGTTTCTTCTCCTCATTAGACTAGGCAAGAAATCTCTATAAATAGGGATTCTTCAAACCCTTAGATTCTTCATTGGATTCGCTTGAAGGTATCTGCTCACGCTTCAAGAAGTAATTCTTGAATTAAATTTCAGAAAGTTCATGTCCTCTAACATGATTGTACTTGTTCTAGCATAAACTATGTGTTGTCTATTATTCATGTAAGTTGTATGATTCTAATATGATTCCGCTATGCATATAGTTTTCCATCATTCACATGCATCTGGAAATGATTTGTATGTATATGGAGATCTCACTTGCCTCCCTGTGGCCTCTTTCCTTCTCTCACTCGCTTCTCTTTCTACTTTAATGTATCTAGCAGTAAAAATATATATATCTAGGTGTATTTGCCTTGATATTTGATATGAAATTATTAATTAGTGAGACAATATATAATTATTTCAAATTATAGAAAAATAAATAAATATGATATGAATGTTTATGTACTTAGGTATTTTTTTCTTTCTTTTTCTGTTTCTAATATATTTCTATTTTATGTTAACTATGCACAATTAGTTAATGTCCCTTAGGGTCAGGAGAAAATGATCTCTTGTGACAATTTTATGAATTGAATAAATTTTTATTTTTTTAATATTTCTTATTTGTGAAAATGAAATTTTAATTAAAAAGAAACTACAAATCATTCTCTCGTCATTTGTCAAACAAAATAAATGGGGTTCAACATGCATAAAATATTCCTAATATTATTGAATATTTATCAAATAAGGAAATACTATTTCATTTTTTGAAGTCCGATAAAAAAAAGTTATGTCATATAAATTATGACAAATTATTATATAAATTGTCACTTTTAATATAATTTGTTGTATTTGTGCTATAGAGCTTTGCATCCCTAAAATAGATATAAATAATACTCTCCAATCGCCATTTGTCAATATATGATCACACGACTAGCTAAACTCTCCTCTCAATTTAGACATGATAAAATGAATATAAATCAAGCATAAACAATATTGAATTTAAATAACCTCTCAATTTAATATCACAATTCACATGCGTCCCAAAAATTAATTTATCAAATAAAAATACAAGAAACAAATGAAATGTATACCTACCTAACCCAATTGTCAAATAAAAATCTTTATTTCAACTTTACCCCACAAATGAATAAATCCAATTTTGGTGACAAAGAACATTGCATTAAAGAGAAAAAAAATAGGAGAAACTTTCCAACTTTCCTGCAGAAATAACGCAAATTTTTATTATATTTTTATAATTGTGATATTTTGACCAAATATTCAAAATAATATTTTTCTCAAAGTAAATATTTAAAATTATTTCCAAAATCAGCCGATGTGATGACGCCAGATAGAATTACTCATCTTTTAATAAAGCCTTATGCATTACGAATCTAAATTAATCTTTCGATACAAATATCAGACACGATTGAAAATAAAAAAGTCATTACAAAAGCAAAATTTATAGCCGACCGTTTGCTTGAATGCCACGAGCCTGCCACGCGCTGTTATGCACTACTCAATCCTATCCATCCACGTGTCATCCATCCAACGGCTGTAAGTCCTCTCATGTCGGGTTTTTCATCATCTACTTACTATAATCATCTTCCCTCTTTCATTTTCCTTTGATTTCTTTCTACTGATAATTGTTCAATTTCTGCATAAGTTTCAGTATTCATCATCATGCTTCTAAAAGTGGCACCTGCGTTTGCGTTGTTGAACACCCATGGGGAAAATTTGGGTTCCATGTTATCATTTTCTTCACATGGATCTGTTTTGAAGAATTTTTCGGCAAAAAGTGGAAATGGATTGGTTGTATGTGCTTCAAAGGGTTCGAACAGCAAACCGTTGACGGGTGTTGTTTTCGAACCCTTTGAAGAGGTGAAGAAAGAGCTTATGCTTGTACCTACTGTTCCTCATGCTTCTCTTGCTAGACAGAAGTTCACTGATCAATCTGAAGCTGCTCTTAATGAACAGATCAAGTGAGTTTTTTTAATATTTCTAAGATTTATCCATTTTTTTGCTCTTGTTTGATGTTTTGCTTTTTATTGTATTATTTTGTTGTAGTTATTGGTCGTTTGGTAGCATGGGTTACTAGAAATATTATACATGTATTAGATCATGCATAAGTAATATCATGTTTGGTAATTGGTTAGACTATATATAAAATTAATAGCGTGTTTGATTTGCACTTTAGAAACTTGCATAACTAATACAGGTATGGTAGGAGGGAATCTATGTATAATTTTAGATAGGATAGAAAATGAGATAATTAATACATGAATAACTAAACTCCGCCTAACGAATTCCTGCATAAAACAGTACATAAATTTACTCATAATTAGTCCATGTATTACTAATATTTGCATAACTCAAGCCAGCTACCAAACGATTTATACTGCTCAATAAAATTGCTTTGGACGGTTCCTTTTTGAGCCGTCTAGCAGAAACAACCTCTCTACTTCTGAGTTAGAAGTAATGTTTGCGTACACTCTAACCTCCCCTGACACCACTTTGTGGGACTATAATGGGAATAGTGTTGTCGTTAACATGGGAAATTCATGTAAGTGACCACAACTAGTTTGAAATTGAGGGTAGTAGTAGTTGATATGTTGTTGTTGTTGTGTTTTAGAAGTGGTGTTCAAAACATTTCACTCTTACCAAGGGAATGCGAAATTTTCCAATCTCATAGATACATATAGAATTATGAGGAAATAGAACTGCCTTAGCGGAGACTAAAAATAGTGACTATAGAACTGCCTTAGCGGGGCTAAAAATAGTGACTATGTCTTCATGCTTTCGAAAAAAGAAAACACCTATCTATACGGGGCATTATTTGTCTACTTATTGCATTAGTCGTGTCTATTTTGAAGTTTTTTTAACTCGTTTGATGTGAAGCCCTTCCATACGCGTATGAAACTTTGATCAGTCCTAGTTGATTGGTCAAATGAGGATTATGATTTCTCACCTTTTGGAACAACTTCTTATAGTTCTGTTACTATCTGTTTATGAGATTGTTTTGTATTTTTTGTGATTGCAGTGTGGAATACAATGTTTCGTATGTTTACCATGCTATGTATGCCTATTTCGACAGAGACAATGTTGCTCTCAAGGGACTTGCCAAGTAAATATTCAAAGACTCTTCCAAATCGATGAGTTAGCCGTGTGGATTTTGTTTAATGGTTTGTGATTATATGTTATTGTTTTGGTGATATAGGTTTTTCAAGGAATCAAGTGAAGAGGAAAGGGAACATGCTGAGAAATTCATGGAGTATCAGGTGTTTGAAAATTTGCCTTTATGAAATTTTGTGTTACTGCTTTTTATCTTTATGATTTGTGCTTTGTGTTTGGGGGAATGGTTAATTCTAGCATCTGGTTGTACATGCTAATTGGGTTGCTTCAACTTCTTGTATTACTTGGATTTAGAACAAGCGTGGTGGGAAAGTGAAGCTGCAGTCTATTTTAATGCCATTATCTGAGTTTGATCATGCTGAGAAGGGGGATGCATTGTATGGTAAGTTTGTTTCTGTTCTCGTATGTTTTGCTTGTTAACCATGGTGTCTAGGCCAACTTGCATGTACCTCGACTAATTCCATGGTTACCTGCTATAGGAAGAATTCACTTAGTGTTTTTGCCTTGAGACGTGATCCTGAGACTTCCTTGTTCTTCCCCCGTTTCATTGATCATTAGGCCACATCCTTGAGTGCACTTTCTGTTGTATGTTGCAATCCTATTTTTGTAATTAGATATTTTGATGATACTAGTAAAAATGGTTGTCTAGATTATAAGTTGCTAGAAATGTTTACTATGTTCATCAGATGTCTATGTTGACAACTTGACACCAAAAGAGATATAATTAATGTTGCAGACGCCAGTATGCCCTTGTACTCCCAAATGCCTACTAATAACTATTTCCTCTTCCTTGTGAATTGAGAAATACGAAAGTTCTTATGTTATTAAACACTGAAAAAAAGGAGATTGAACTTTCAGTTACTTACCACATGCTTTGTCGAATTTATTCTGTAGCAATGGAGCTTGCACTTTCTTTGGAGAAGTTGACAAATGAGAAACTCTTAAACTTGCATGCTGTGAGTTTTTCTACTATTCTTTTTTAGTTGTAGCTATACACAATCATTTGAAATAGACAACCATTGTGTTGGTTTTCGATGACATTGAACAAAAAAGTTCTGCATCTTGGTTTTTCATAATTTGCCACTATACATTTTGACTACTCTTTAACTTTTAAAAACAGGTAGCCACACGAAACAATGATGTGCAGTTGGCTGATTTTGTTGAAAACAAGTACTTGCAAGAACAGGTCTGGCTTCTTTACTATTTGTCTAATGGAGTTGTTAAGTCTCAATACTAATGCATGATGCTATTTTAATTTTTAAGACATGTTCTTCCTTTGTTTCTTTTAACTTTTAAGACGTGTTCTCCTCATTAGGTGGAAGCAATCAAGAAGATCTCGGAATATGTGGCTCAGCTGAGAAGAGTGGGCAAAGGACATGGTAGGATCACGCTCCCTTGTGAATTACTTATTAATTAATTATACTGTTCCCCTTGTACACTATTCATATAAACCTTAACTTTTCAACGTCCTCGGCTGCAATTTAGGTGTCTGGCACTTTGATCAAATGCTCCTGCACGAGGCGGAAGTTCTTGCTTGATGGAGAAGATAGACTTACAACTTTCTACGAGCACAGTGCCCCTTTGGAGGATGTTGTCTGGGTATATTTTGTCATAAGCCTTTTCTATGAGATTAAGATATATAAGGTGTTTTGGTGATCGAAAGTCCCGGTGCTGTACATAGACCAAATAGATGTAGTTATCTGTGCTACTTATTAGTACCCTCCTGGTGTTCAAATCAGTTTTAATTTCCCTTATGGTTTGCTAGTTGTAGCTTGGAATCGAAGGTGCCCCATTGAAGTCAAATGTAAAGTGAAGTTAGTTTTGTTTTTAGTTGGATGTTGGCTCATTTGGAGAAATAATAAATAATTGGAATTCAGCTGAAGTTGCTTTTTTCGGGGTTTGTTTCGATATTTTTACATGTAATTGTAAAAAGTGACGTCGTTTTCGATAGATTCTTCTCTCAATAGAGATACATGTGGAGTAATTTTCTTAGATAATCACTCATGTTTGGAAAATTACTTAGGAATATCACTTATGTTTGTTTTAGGATTACAATATCACCCAACTTTGCCTATTTTTATCAAAATATACTTGACACAAAAAATACATTATCTCTCTCCTACTAGGATGCCATGTCACTATTTTTTAATTTATTAATAATATTTTTTTAATTCTTTAAATGACAGCTTATTTAATGTATCTATAAGAGATCATTAATCAATTCTCTATGAAAATCTAGTTACTTCAATTTTATAGTGAAAATCTTTATCCTATGTTTCATTTACGAGTATTTGCCATTATATCCATACAAAAATTTAGTCTTGCTATCGAGGAAAAAATTAAACTAGTTACTTGAAGTGATGAAGAAACAATAAATTTAGTTGGATATTTTGAGATAAACTAGATATTAGGAACATTGATTTTTACACAAACTATAAACATATGCTGCTTGTTCACGGTAAAAAATCAAAGATTTCTTGTTCATGGTAAAAAAAAAAAGATTTTTACACAAATTATAAACATTTGTTCAAAGCTTAGGCAGATTCAAACAATAGAAATATCCGATTCAAAAACAAGCCAAGACAAAAAACCCCTAAATTTTAAGAAAATTACTCCAATATCATGTTAAGTATTCAAATTATTTCACAATTTACACTTCAAAAATAAAAGAATTAGAAGAAAACTTGAATTTTACCTCGTGGCGATTTCTTTGGTCGACATCAAAGGTATACAGCGGCTCAGGAGACAGTTCCTTATGCAGATTCGTTAACTTAATCCTTAAAGAACCTGAGGAAGCCACATATTTTCTTGAAGAATTGGAGGAGCTCATATTACAGTTCCTTATGTAATTTTTTTTACTAAGTATAATATATGAATTGCCTAATTTTTAAAAAAAAATTGTTAATAATAAAAAAAAGGAATAATGTGACATGTCATCCTAATAGGAAAGAGATAATGTATTTATTGTGTCAAGTATATTTTGAAGAAAAATATGTAAAGTTGGGTGATATTATAGTCCTAAAACAAACATAAATGATTTTCCTAGGTAGTTTTTCAAACATGGATGACTATCTAGGAAAATTACTCGATACATGTGCACATATTACCTCCAATGTAGATGTGCACTTAATGGATATATCAATTATTTATGAAAGTGTATAGCTAAAGAATGTGGAAAGTATTTTTGTCGATATTTTTTTTAATTTTTTTTTTATATAAGGCATAATACATAAGTATTTTTTTTTTAAACTTAGCTTTGGTTCATATTTATGCCCTCCAATTTTGGGTGTGTACAAATAAGCAATTAAATAAGTAAAAACACATGTATCCTATATAGCATAATACAGGTAGGGACATGGGCACAAACTTAAGGATAATTTTATTATTATGTCATTATATAATGCGTGTTATTCTTAAATCTTAATACAACAAATCAAAATGTATATAAGAAATAATTAAGACTATCTTTATACATCTTTGACAATTGCCACGTGTCACCAACACATGAGCCTAATTGCATCATCGACTCCATAAGGTTAGGCACATAACGATTGCGTGTGCTCGATCCATCTTTGGCTTCTTCTCGAAGAAAGCACTTACACATAAAAATAAATAAAATTAAAAAATCGACTATAAATAAAAGCAAACTGAAGGAATCAGGAAGAACTCGAAAGAAGAAATGTTGAATAACTCCATGAATGTTGCTCTGTTACTACTCATTCAACTTCTACTCATTGCAATTGCGGTACAGTACTCAACCGCTGATGAATCCTTCGATGTTCGTCAACATCTATCAACTGTATCGAGGTTATCTCTTATTACTATTTTTCTCTTTTCAATTTGAAAAATTTGATACTGTTTTAGAGAAATACGATCTGGTAATTGGTAAATGTATTAACTATTCTAAATTTTGAGCTATCTCTGAGCTGAATTTACAACTGTGAGCAGCTAAAGTTAATATTTAGAGTGAATAGGTTAAAGCCTCGCTATTTTGCGAATTTCGTACCTAAACTATTAGGTGTTCTATGTGGCGAAATGTTTGGAATAACTTCCTTACAGGTGCGTGGGAGATGACAAATGTCTTAAAAATGAATTCAACTGGTACAATGAGAGCCTCCTAGTAGACTTGCAAAATAGTGATGGTTTAGGGGTTTTTAACCTATTCACTCAAATTTGTTTCTACATGTATCACCAGTTGGAACTGTTTGGAGGAGTTTTTGGAGTGTGATTTTCACATAGCATGGCGTATTCTCTGGGGTATTTTAATATAAGTTTGTGGTTGTTTGGGGGTTCTGTGAACACCAAATATTTTAGGTATGGAGCTCATAACACAGTGCTAATTTTGTGCTACTCGGTCTGTCCGAATTTATGTCGCAGTGAGTGGCACCGATTGACTTTGACACTAAGTTTAAGAAAAAAAGGTAGACTTTTGAAATTTGTGGTCTAAAACAAATCTTAGACATTTGTGTGACTATAAATCATTTCATTAAGGATAGAAGGGGAATACAAGTTAAGTTGTTTCTAATATAGAAAGGTGACATTCTTTCTGGGGACGGACTAAAAGGGAAAACATGCCACATAAACTGGGTCAGAGGGAGTATTATATAGATTTATGCATGTGTAAGTTGACTTGTTTTAGCATGTTACTTGAGATGGCCTTTTAAGTAACCTGAATTAAGCATAGAATTTGAAAGAAAAATTATATGTATTAAACAAATATGCAGTTCAAACAGATGGCAGATCAGCATGCTGTCTAGTGTCTAATTACTAAATTTCAGACTGCATAGTAGAGTTTCGTCTTGAGTCATCTGTGGCCAAAAGATAAGAACAGAGAGAAGTCCGCAATTTCAGTTGGCATTTGCATTATAGAATTGGGCTATTGATGTACTTGTTTATTGGTTTTGTTTTCAGGTATGGTATTGTGAAGGATATATCTGATGATTCCTTTGCTCCTTCCCAAAATCTCGATCAGTGTACACCTATTCATTTGAATCTTGTGGTGAGTCTTTGTTTGATGTTTCTGCTGGTGTTGTTCTTTCTTGTGGTGCCAATGCAAATTGGTTTAGACATTTAAGTTGTACTTGTTGTATTTTCTGTTGCCATTTTTTTGTCATTACATAGAATCTTTTCTTTGCCTACACTTAATAGGAAAGTGTTATGTGTAATAGTATTATCCGTGTCATTCCCCTGAAAGAGCTATAACAGCGAGAAAATTGTGGATGTGCATGTGTGGGGTGCATTAAGACTCTTATCACATTGTCTTGATACTCTAGGCCTTGGAGCGCTTGTTGATAGTTACTGAATTAACTCAACAAACTAACACAAAGTTTAGGCTGCCATTGGAAGTTCATCTACACCAAATTGCAGGAACCTTTTCTTTGTTTGTTGATTTCTTATAATGGTAGTGTTCTGACTAGCTTGTGGCTTTGTGTGCACCTCGACTAATACACTTGTTACCTATTACTTTCCATCAGCAAGCTACTTGGTAACTCTATCCATCAATATTTAGACAGATGGAAGAACCTAGTATTGCCTCTGCTGGAATGCGAACCTCAGTTTGCAGGGTTGTAATCCAGCTCTTCGACCACCAGGCCATCCTCTTTAGGGTGAAGCAATCAGAAAATCTTAATTCTGTTGAGATTTGGACGATGCTTTATGATGGGAAAGTTGCTGAAGGTATCCCATAAATCTAGATTGCGAGTAAAGTCATCTTATTCGCCAAAGGATTATATCTGAAGATTAATGTCACTTATTTGTCATAGCTTGCTAATCTCTTCGAGATTTCGACGTTTCAGAAGTTTGAACAGTATGATCCTCAAATATTTAGTGTCCTGAATCTTGTTCTCCCCTTCCGTTTCATTCGGAATAGGTTCAATCTTCTGCTGATCCATGTCAACTACTATTTGGCACTTTATGTGTCATTTTCCCTTTTGAACTTTTTAATGGAAAATGCATAGACATCATTTGCTTCGTCTAATTTGCACAAATGTGATTTTTGATTCTCGTATGGAAATTGTGCTCGATTAAAAGGAGATATTTCAACAGGTTTCTTTCAGGTAATGCTATGCTCATGAGAGAGGGTTCTTGATTGGTAACTTCTTTAATCTTCTTATTTGGTAGGCGCGGCATGGCACTCGTGCTCCTACAAAGAAAAGGATCAGGGAGCTAGAAGCCTTTGCTGCTCGATTGGAAGTCCTTGTACGTGATGTTAAGGAACAGAAGCAGTCTTTGGATAAAATTCCTGCTTGGTTAATGGGGTGGAACTCTCCTTGGAAGGGCAAACGTACAGGCGGAGAGTTGATCAGCGAAGGAGAAGACGAGTTATATCATCTTGGTATCAGAGTCAGAGAACAGTTTCCCAGCCTGTTTAGTGAAGAATACCACCCTGCTATATATTCAATCAAGACTACCCAGGTTGACAGTTATTTTACTTTTTAAAATCTGCATACTGACTTACTGTCACGCATGAATAAATCCATCTCACATTTAGTGTGTGTGTGTGTGGTGGTG